CAGACAATAGCAGGTTAATATGGAGACAACACTATGTCTCATCACTACTACCTCATTTTCTACTGATGAGTACTTTCCCTACTGAGACAGGGAGGATTGTTTTGAATTTACATTCATAGTGTTGCCCTATTGCCATCTCTTTACTCTGCCATTCAGTACTCAGCCTTCCAGTCCTTGCATTTGCCCCCAGTATGTATCTGAATAGATGACCAGTGAATCACAGATTTAAGTCAGATTGCCTGGACTCTCGGGCTGTACACCTCAGAAATCACCAGAGCCCTGGAATTTTTAATTAGCTTCCATGCTGCTTTCTTGCTCTACTAACAGGGTCCTCAGGCAGCTTTGCCTTCTTCTTTGGCCTAGTTATAGAAGGGGTTTTGAAACCTGCCTCACTTGTTCTTGTGCACATTACGTCCTCATTCTACTCCCAGGCCTCAGCCCACCAGGGGTCCCAGTCTCTTCTGCTTAGTTGCTGAAGATATCATTTCTCGTAAATGCTGCTTTAATGCTTCTATGAAAGTTGTGCAGCTGTCACCATTGAACTTCCACATTTTTGTATTAGCTATCTAGATCATTAAAAGTTTATAAAGCTGACCAATGTTCTCTTTGCAGTGCATATAAATTAATAGAGCAATTATGATAGGTTATGGTAAATTGTTCACTTGGCAGCACTGTTGCAGAAAACTGCCTGTTTCTTCAGGAAGCACATATTCACTTTTGTTTTATTTTTTTCATTTTTAGGTGTGATTTAAAAATAATAACCTAGAATATGAAAACATGGGGAAAAGTTCTATATTGAAGCAATGTTAAGATTATGTAATTAAATTAAAATTAACGTTAGAAAACGCAAAAGATTCCTTAGGAACTGTTAGTTTGGACATCTAGGGTGTAGGTATATTTGTTGTTCCTTTTGGTTCCTTTCCTTTTAAACATATAATTCTGTATTATTCCCGTTTGTGCCTAGAAAAAATATACAATGTACAAATTTTGAGTTCATACTGTGGTTCTGAATTTTAACTTTTGCATTTCCTGGCTCTTACTTCTGGAATCTGTGGCGGGATACATGAACATACAGGTTTCCTTTGCATGACAGAGTGCTGTGGAGTAGTACATCCTGCTATGTGAGATGTGTCAGAATTTTTTTTCATTTAGATTTACTATCAACAGTTTTATTAGCACTATTGCATTTTGGTGAAACTAAAACAGACAATAGGCCTGTCTACATGAGATGTTTACTGCTCAGTAGACTATTAGTTGTGCTGTAACCACCTTGGCATCTACACATGTGCCCCTATTAAGCTGGAGTAAACTAATTTACTGAGTCTTATTTGGGGTGCTTCAGCACAGGGCTAGTCAGCAGGCAGTCCCTAAAACACCCTTGCGTTCCACCCAGCCCGGGCAGTGTCTACACCAATACTTGATTTTTCTCATGTTTGATAGGAGAAAAATCTCATCTTATAATTGAGTAAATACAGTAACCCATTTTCAATCCAATTTAGTTCACTTCTTCAGTGAACTAGTTAGAACCCTAGTTAGGTTGATCTAAGTGCAGCATCCGCACATACCCTGAGTGGCAGGGTATTGAATACAAGTACTACCTTAGTGCAGAATAAAAAACTCCGCAACAGCGTGCATGTAGATGCTGCTCTGGCTGGCTGTGGCATGAGGATAACTCAGTGTGGAGCCTACCTGCCAGTTAACCCCCACACTGAAGCACCCTGGTGCCCCAGCCAGCCCTTCCACAGCATGTGGAACCCAGGGAAGCAGCCCTGGGCCTGCAGGCTGAACCCCCAAGCCCCTTGCCAGTTGGGCTGCTCCTACCTAGCTCAATGTACTGCAGTCCTGGGCACACATTCAAATGGCAGTAAACTCTGGAGTTTATTGCTCCAGAGTTTATTGCTCCTGCGAACACATTCAAACAGCATGCTTGGGAGCAATAAACTCTGGAGTTTTTGACTTCACATTAATTGCATATGTCGACACACCCAATGAGACCAAATGCATATGCCTGTAATGGAAAAAAATACAGATCCTTTTGTCTGAATTGCCACTGAGTGTCCCTGTCATTTGCTGTTGTTGTTTTTATTGTTTTTTCCAAGTTCCTTTAAAAAAATTATTCCTCCTGTCATTCTGCAGATGGGAAAAACTGACCAGGTCTTTGAATTGTTTGCACTTTTGAGCTATAATAGTATCTTAGCACAATCTACTGACACTCAGGCAAGGTGGACGAGAAAAAATGACTTCTGTGATGTCGTGTCTAAGAATGACAAACAGTTGCATTAGGGACATATAGGTTACCAGCTGCATTATGATACTGTTGCTGTCTAGCAATTTTTTTTGATCTGGCATTTTAGATACTGATCAGTTTACTGAAAGCAGGGCCAGGCACAAGGAGTGAGAAAATATAAAGGTCATTGGATGTAAGAGTATTGGTATTTTACATGGTGGCACTTTGCTCATTAAAACATTACTGAAGCTTAGCTCCAGCAAGATGAGCTGTTTGTTTCTTTTTCAGTTGGCAAGTGTACTGAGGGCCAGACCATGTTTAACCAGTAGCAAATCCTGTAATACTATTTTCAAGAGTGTTAATCCAGGTGCCCTAGTCTGTGGTAGTTACAGTCTGCTTTCCATCCCTAAAGTCCTCTTTTATGTTAATTGGGGAAAGGATAAACCACCCAATTTTGATTTTGATTAATAGTTTTAACCCAAACTATTCCATAAGTTGGAAGTAGAGCAAACACCTGATGGCAGATCCTTAGTTGTGAACAGGTGACATGAGAGAGGAAGTGTGGCTAAACTAGGTTCCATTCTTCAATGTGAAATGGCCACTGGTAGGCTTCTCCAGTGCACACAAGTCCCATATGACTGCTCTGCTGGCTGGGTATCAGTTGAATTCTCTGATCGGGGCATGTTGCCTAGAACTCTGTAATTTCCAGAACCATTTAGGAATAGTTTGTTTCTTGCATGTGTGCATGAGGGTTTGCCTAGATGACTCTTTGGTGTCCTTTCCAGTCCCATCATTCTGCAACCCACTTCCTCCCTGGCTGAGAACTCACTCGCCTTAGGCAATGCTCAGAGCAGGGGCTGGCAATTGTTTTGGGCAGAGGGCCGCTTACTGAGTTTTGGCAAGCCATTGAGGGCCGCATGATAGACAGCTAGGGGCAGATAAATATTAATTTTTAAATTTTTTAGGGGCCCCGCGGGCCGGATAGAATGGCCTGGCAGGCCGCATCCAGCCCCCAGGCTGCATTTTGCCCATCCCGGCCTAGAGGCATCTTTAAGTTATCTTTGTGTTGCTAACAGGGCAAAGCTTGAGAGAAATTAGTTTAACCATGAACAATACACAGCCCTTTTGAGAATTTGGTGATTCAGTTTTAACACTACTTTTCCTACTTAATATTTGTGTTCAGGAAAATGTGCTGAAAAAGAAAATTGATGAGGAGGATATTTTCAGTGGGGTTTTTTCTATGCTCATTGCGAGGAACCACAACCATCTGCCTGACCTCTCAGAAGTTGTGACATTGCAGGTTATAGGGTACTGAGTACTCAACTGGGAGATGTTCAGACTCTGCAACCTCTTTAGAGCTTTTTTGAAGAACCAGGAGCATCACTTTTCTGATCAGATTCACCAAGCTGTATTGATTGCTTTGGTGTTAGTTAGAAGAAAATATGGCAGTAAATGCTTGCATCTGTTGCAGCCCAAAATAATTTTGCTACATAATTGAGAGGCCAGATCTTTATTTCTTGATCAGAAAATACATTTGTGGTTGTTAGGAATGATTGGTCACTGAATGTCACCATTATTGCACATTGATACAAATGGAAGAAGTCTGGCTGGCAATAAAATAAAACAATATATAATATCAGTGCTCTTGATAGAAGTTTCTGGATAGTAAAAAAAAAAAAAAGTTAAAACTTACAAACTTTCTTTAAACTATTTGATTTGGTAAAACTCCATCCATATCTGACCTGTTCTCTGTCTTGTCTTATATATTTTGATTCATAGTATTTAATAAGTGGTGGCAGCTACTTTTCAAGTCTGATCCTGCTCCCTTCGACTTTCATGGCACAAGGAGCAGATCCTATCATACAAGTTAGATATTGCCCACAGAAGGAAAGGCAAGAGAGTAGAAACTGAAGGTACTGAAGGAAACTACTCACTACAATCTATAAGCAATGTATGTACAAGTGTCTTTATGTCTTATCCTTTGTTCTGAAACCTGCCACTCTGGGAATATTTCCCTCAAACCTCTTCAATCACCAAGCTTTAAACATTGTATTTATTAAGACAGTCCACAGATGGATTATAAAGTGCAGCTTCATCATTTCCCCTTTTGCTCTGACTTTGCCTTCTGTTCCATTGCAGTATTTCCTTTCTGTCCATGACATCATCTTAACCCTCACTAGGGGAAGGGAGGAATAAGAAAGAGAGAGAGAGAGAGAGAGAGAAAGGGAAAGAGGAAAAAAAAGGCTTCCTTGGCAACAGAAATACCTTTAAGTGTAACATAATTACCATCTCTCTGCCCTTTCTCCCCCCGCTGGGACTATTCAGCAAACCCTACAACATACACTTAAATCTTCAACTTCTCAGAGACACTACACGCAGATGGGAAAGATTTGATTAAAATTACAGTGCTTTAGGTTCAACTTCACCTATTAAGAAAAAAAAAAGGATCTGGTGCTGGACTTTTTTTTCCCTGAGAAATAACTAGGCCACAGTAATTACAGACAGGGCCCTGCTGTGCACCATGAATAGGATCCCTGGGGTGGTATTTTCCTGTTACCTGCCTATGTAGGGCTGTTGACATCAACATGAATGATAACCATGCCAGGTTTTTTTTTTTATTATTCTTTCTTTTTATGCCTTAGAAAAATAAGGGGAGGAGAAAGAAAGGGAAATACATTAGTTATAAATGTTGTGATTTACATTTTTTTGTGTCAAGGATGCTTTTATGTACTTTTCTATACATCTGTGTGATTACTTTCTCAAATGATTTTTAAAGGTGAATTTTGGCCTTCAAGAAAAGGAAAGACCAATATGTGGCAAGAACCAAGCATAGAGCAGTAGGCATCACGTAAGTTCCCTATTGTCATTTTTTTCCATTCACTGTTGCCCTGTCAAATCTAACCTTATTTAGAGAACGTGTCTTTTGGTACTAGATGATGCCCACCAAATTCAAGGTGTATGTAACAAGTCAAATCTAAAAAGTTGCATTTTTGCATTTGCTTTAACTGATGTAGATCGAGAGCAATTCCATCACTTAAGATGGTGATTCTCAACCACAGTGAAGTGGCACCAAGAGGTGGATGAGATCCTTTTAAGGGTGCTGCAGAAAGCACTGTTAGGTATGCAAACACCTAGACGTGATTCACAAGAGAGACCAGAGATTTCAAAAAGGAATCCATAGCACCAGAATCATTCCGACCTCCTGTGGGCTTTCTGAGTTCAACAAAAGAATTGCTCTATTATTTTTCCATAGTCAAAAAGTGAGTGAAAAATAAGATCTGGGATTTTCAGAGCCTGATGAATGGTGCCTTGAATCCAAAGAGGCGGAGAACCATTGATTTAAGCAATAGCTTACTCTGGATTTACAATGGTGCAGCGGAGAGAGAAAAAATGGCCTTAATAAAGTACATGTCATAAACTGAATTCTGGCCACTAATGGGTGGGAGTAGGTATGGGGCAATAATGTCAAAATAGAGGTGAGAATTTGGCTTTGGTCAAACTGGGAGATGAGTAAGGAAAGAAAATGAAAGTCAGCTGGGACACTGACTGGTGGAGAGCATAGGTGGTATATGGCAGAAGGCAGGGTAGAGAAACACCTTGTAAACTAACTAGAAAATAGATACATAAGCTTACGTGAGCCTGAACTCATTTAATCAAATGTTATTCTGAGGGTGGTGTATACATCACAGGGGGCTTGAGAAGGGAGGTACCAATAATTGGGAGTATTTGAAATGTGATATTCTGTAATAGAGCTGAAGAGAAGGCAGTCTTTTCTAGTAGGGATAGAAAACAATATATCATGTAGTTTTAAATTAAAAAAACAGCCAAAAACCGGGAAGGAATTACGCCCATGCCCAGGCACACCTGCTCACATGATTACCTCCACTCTTGCCACTTTGGCCTCCAGTGCTGGTTTAAAGAAGCAGAAACCAGCCAGGAGATAGTTCTGTTAACGCAAAGTGGGGAATAGGCCCTCGACCGTTATCAAATGCCCTTGGCAACTCTTATGTCAAGTTCCTTGTCCCCTCACCTGAGTGTAGTTAACAGCCTGAACTATTTGGGAGCTTTGGTGGGGGAGGGAGGATGGGGACAAAGTGGGAAAGATGTTCTTGACCAATTCTGACCTGATCTTTGAGTCCTGAGGGACCATAGCTATCATAAACAAATTAATGCAGCCCCTAGCTTGGTCTAATTTACAGTGAAAGATTGAGGTTAATGCAGATACCTCCTGAGAGTCAGAGGAATGCAACTTGCATCCTGACAACCAACCCCCATCTCAAACTAAGAGGACCTCAGAGTAGAAGAGAATCTGACTTTACCCCATGTTGGTCATGGTCTATTAATTCTTTGTATTGCTATAGTCTTTTAGAGCCCCAGGCATTGATAAGAAGCTCATTTTGCATGATGCTGCACAAGCAGAATAGAGAGACACCCCCTTGCCGCCAAGAGTTTCCAATCTCAATATAAGCCATGAGACAACACATTGATGTAGATATAATGTAAGGAAACAATGAGGAAATATCAGTTAACATGATGTAGCAATGGCACATTAGCATCCTAACCACTAAGGGTTTTTTTAGATATCTCAGTAAAGGAGAATTATAAGGAGGGACTTCAAGGAGAATGATGGAAGCTCCTTTCAAGCATGGAGGGCAGCATGGGACAAGGCATGAAGCTTCTTGTTTGAAAATGTGACAAGGCAGTGATGGAAATTGGCACTGTGGACTGAGAGGGGGTAGGAATCAACATCATGACAGGGACAGAAAGATGACATGTAGGGTGGCGGTGAGCTCCTAAGAGCTATGAAAATCAAGACAAGGAGCTTGTGTTCGATGTGATAGCGAAGAGGGAACCAGAGGAGGGCTGGTCAAAGCAATGGGTTAGGAATGTAGTCTTTGTGGCAGCCTTATGGAATGGAAATTACGTGGAAATCTGCATTTGTCAAGAGCAGAAATACAGGATTTCATAGTATTCAGTATGTGAAAAGATGACAATTTGGGCAGGAACTTTAGCTGTGTGGCTGGGTAAGAAAGGCCATATCTTAGAGGTGGGAGACAGGACATGTGAGTCTAAAATGAAGCCCAGGTTATGGGTTCAGTGAAAAGTGGACTGTGATGTTTTCCACAGTGTGTGAAAAAGGAAGAGTAGGGAGGGCTTGCGGAAGAGGATTAAGAGCTCTGTTTTAACCATGCTTACTTGCACTGATAACTAGTCATTCACAAAGAGATGTCAGAGACAGGCTTGGTTTTTAGTTTGGGCAGAAGTATTTGGATCTGGAAAGGAGAGAGACATCTGCATAGAGATGGGGGCTGAAATCATTCGTAGAGTTTACCCATGAAGGATGTTGTCAGCAACAATAAGCTAACGTTGAAAATGTTAAATTATGTAGGCTCTATTGTTTCCTAATTGTTTGCTTGAACCAAGATATAAAAATTAATTTTGCTATAGCAACAACAAACTAAAATAAGAAACAAGCAATGGAAGTTGTGAGGGAAAAAGGCTAGAGAATATTATATGATGTAAATGTTTACATCATCTGATGGTCTGAATCCAGAGATGAGGTATATGTCTAAACCTCTTCTTTGACGTAGTTTCAAGTGCTTTGAGTTGCAGCGGTTCTAGGGCGGCATTACTAGGCCAGAGGGGTTACTGTGGGCAAGGGCTAGCTGTTCTCTCCAGGATCTTTCCCTCACATATCTGTGGGTGGGGAAGGACCACCTTTGCAACTCACGTGCTTCCCCTTATTTTTTGTTTTGATGGCTAGCTAGCAAATATATAGTCCATGCCTTACTATGAATCAGTCAGTAGAGCTTTCTTGTGGTTGCTTAGCTTACTGTATAGATCTGTTAATAGAAAGTCTCCAGTGCAGTTAAAAAACCTTTTACTCACCTTCTCTAGTGGATTTCATGAAGAAATTTGCTTACCAAAGCTGGGTTTTCCCAACTCTCAGTTTTAATGATAATAGGTTTGTGTATACTATAGAATGAGACTGCGCTGATCCAGCTGTCTTTAGCTCACATTAATCACACCCTTTTACTCAAAACAGTATAACTCTGATCTAACCCAATTAAGCTTGTGATGTTTAGACAAAGAGATTAATATAGCTCAGAAAAGCATAACCTTTGTCCATAGAAATGTCTTAAGATAATGAGTTTGATTCAGTGGGCTGGATTTGTAGAAAGGTGTATTTTGGAAGTAGACACCTAATTGTAGATACTAAATCAGCAGGAAAATAAGTGTGTTCAAGCAGACAAGTTCCAGCAGCATGCAAACAGGTAGGAAAGAGGGTAAATAAGTTAATTCGAGAACTGGCTATTTGAGAAGTTACTGACAATAGTGTAACTAGGGTGGGTGAAGAGAGCATACACCCTGGGTGCCAATTTAGAGGGGGCATAAGAATAGCAGCTGTCACCACTGCTGGTCCACTGGAAAACTACTGCCCAGGCTGCAAAGTTTCCTCTGCTTATTGATAACACAAGAGAGAATCAGCAGCAGCAAAAAGAAAAAAAACAGAGTACATAAGGCAAATGTAAACAAAACATCTGCTCTTGGACTTAAAAATATACTGTCTCCTTTATGCCTTCTGATACCTGAAAAAATCTTGCTTTGTTTTCTAAAGTTACATACAAAATACAGATTCCTTTTAAAAGATAAATCAGATTTGCAGTCTCACCATGAGCATGTTCCCCAAATGGCTGAATCTCCAAGATACCATATTTAGTTCAGGGAACAGATGAGTCTCTTTCATTTATTATATTTATATCATAATGTGCTAGAGGTGTCTGACAACAATTGATATTAGATTAGCTATCCGTTTTAGATTAACAGTGGATATTAGAGGTGTGTGAAATATTAATCTCAAACTGCAGGCGTACTCAAAATAAGGCTTAGTTTGAATTGGACCTGGTTTCCAGAGGGTGCATCTACATGTGCACTTTACTGCAGAGTTGACTAATTAGCTGTGCAGTAAAGCATCACTGTCTACACATGCACTGGTATTAGGGCATAGTAAATTAACTCTGCTGTAAAATTGTACTGTCCAGGACAGTACTATCTTATGACAGAGTTATTAAGTGCAATGAACACACATATATAGATGGTGATAGGGGTCAGCTGGGGTATGAGGGTGCTAAAATATGGGGGCTGCCTGCTGCCTAGCCACATGACTTCACAGGTCCTGTACCCTCATGCCCCAGCCAGCCTCTCTATTGCCTGATGTTGCCTCTGGAGCTTGGAGCTGACCCCCCAAGCCTGCTGCCAGCCCAGGACTGCTCCACCCTGGCTCAAAGTGTAGATGCTGTACACGAGAGCAGTTAATTCTTGGTACAAACTGCTCTGGCATTTATTGCATTGCATTAATTTCACATGTAGATGTACTCAGGTATTCACAGAATTTAAGGCCAGAAGGAATCATCCGAATCTTGTCAGACCCCCTGCATCTCACAGGTTTCACGTAGTGAAACCCTACATTAATCCCATAGGTTGCGTTCACACATACAGGCACTTGCACTTGCAGCAGCTCAAATAGGAGTGGCACAAATTTGTGCTGGAAATTTTTGTCTTAGCACATGTGCCTGAACATGCACTTTGGTGTGGGGCAAGTTGTGCCACTTGGGGCAAACTGACCCTGCGCAGCACCTCCCAGATCTGTAGCCAGAGGGAGCTGAAAGCTGGGGCCAGCACCTAGGCTGGCCCCAGTAGTATAAAACGCTGCCCTGGTGAGCAGCTCAGGGCTACTTCCCCTCAGGAGCTTCTGGGGGAGGAGCCTCTGGGAGGAAGTTGGCCACATCCCTTCCTGTCCTAGGCTGTTGCTGCTGCAAACTTGGTCTCAGGAGCCTCTGGGGAGAA